GCCACCAGCACTGCTGCTTCCGCTGTTGCCACCAGCACTGCTGCTTCCGCTGTTGCCACCAGCACTGCTGCTTCCGCTGTTGCCACCAGCACTGCTGCTTCCGCTGTTGCCACCAGCACTACTGCTGCTGCTGCTGCTGCGACTGCTTCCGCTGTTGCCACCATCACTGCCGCAACCGGTGCTGTTGTCGCCACCAGCACCGCTGCTGCTGCTGCTGCTGTCCCCACCAGCATCGCCGCTTCGAATGCTGCCGCCACTGGCACGGCCATTACTGCTGCTGCTGTCACCACCAGCACAACTGCTGCGACTGCTCTCCCACCAGCACCACCGGAACTACTGCTGCTGTCGCCACCTGCTGTCCCCATCCAGCACCGCCACTCCTTTTCTAGTGTTGTCGTGACCAACACGCTTCTGCTGCTTCTGCCGCCACCAACACTGCTACTGCTGCTGCTGATGTCGCCATCATTACCACTGCTATATGTTAGCAAGAATTTTCCTGGCTCACACCACTTCAAAATCCATGATCTAGGTCTGCTATAGTGTCAGTATACCGTCCCAGCACGTTAAGCACTGCTATAGTGTCAGTGTACCGTCCCAGCACGTTAAGCACTGGTAAAGATCTCTATCTACTCCCTCCGCGTCATTAAAATTGTTGCTTCGCACATCGCATTGTCTGTGACTTGTTCGTCTTAGTCAGACTGTCGGAATCGCGGTTTTCTGTATTTGAACATTGGTGGGACCCTTCCTGCGCAATGTCTACTTGATACTGAAGCCGTGGTGGTCTCGGTGCTCTCTTCCACACCAAACATCGTGCTCCGCAATATTTCGCCCCAGGGCGCGTATCTTTTTTTGGAGTTCGTGCCGGCCCATATCGTTCCCGTGGGCATTTATCAAGACTGAAAACTTGGCTATATGAATCCTGGTATATCTCATGAATTCGAAATACTGAAGTTGACGATGGCTGTACTTGTGGCGCCTGTTGCTGCGAAGTTATCAGGTCTGAACTGCGTACCCTATCCCACTGGAAGGTCGTTACAGTGTACTTGAAAATGCTAGTTTGCCGTCATCGTCTGCCACCTGGAGGCATGGATCGCTTGAAAATGAAGTTTCATGACCTGAATTGGAACGTGCGTCTTGTTCAGCGTAGTGTTGGGTGCTGAAAGGTCTGCCTCGAACTCTGATGAAGATGTCGATTTTAACCACAAGTGCAGCGAAGCGAGAGGCCACAATCTAAAGCTTGGTCCGTCGACAATTCTCTGCCTCAATTTCTAGCTGATTCCTTTGCCCTTCGAGTGGACGAAATAAATTTGAAAAATCTCTCTGGGAAGGGACAATTTTAATGACGCGGATGAAGTACATGTACACTCAAACAATAATAAGAGGACGAAAAAAGTGTTTTTACTCCAAATTTCATGCACTAACCGATATCATAAAACAGTAATGATGAAATCTGGATCAATACTGGTTAATATACCCACAAACTTGCAAAGTGTAAATTGCTGCATCATGGCGCATCTAATCTAAAAGGTGCGAACGACAGCAGTGCAAAGCGTAAACGACGGCATCATGGCGCAAATCTAGAAGGTGCGAATGACAGCAGTGGTGAAAGGTATCACTTCAAATGACAAACACTGGAGCTGGTGGTCTCTTACTTGATTAGGTGATGGCTGTGGATGGTTTGAAGTTCCCAAGGTAGTACTTATTACCGTAGCGACACTTTGACATAAGTTCACTCCTCTTGTTGAGAGAGAGATAGGTGCTTGGGTGCTTGTGCGATTGCTAATTTTTCGGCCGGGCACAGGTTGCACCTTTTGCAACCCCCTTCCTTTTCTTCTTCTTTTCTTGTCTCGTCCGTTTTACCCTCGTCGAAGTACTGTACGTTTTCCCGGTATCCACTCTCTCTCTCTCTCTCTCTCTCTCTCTTTTCTCTCTCTCTCTCTCTCTCTCTCTCTCTCTCTCTCTCTCTCTCTCTCTCTCTCTCTCTCTCAGCGCATCACTATAGATCAGAGTCGCATCTCTGAACACGTCTTCATCATTGGAAATTTCTGTGAGTCTTCTGCTGATCGATGCAGGCAGGTTCTGGATGATTGTAGGTGAATGATTTGACTGGTAGTTGATATACATTGGCTTGTCGTTCGGTTTCCGGCAAGGGCGGCACTTTCCGGTGGTCAGGTCCAATGTCACGTCCAGAAAGTCGACTCTCTTCAGGTTTGTCTGTATCGTTATTTCCAGTCCCAGGTTCTGGAATATGTTGGTATTTTCCTTTCTTATACGGTCAGCTTCATGTCTCGACGCATTCCTGAACACAACCAGACCGTCGTCCCGATACAATCCGACGTTTCTGCCGTTGAATATGTTCGCTATCATGGCGAGGGCAAAGGCTCCGACAAGCTCACACACTTCAGCTCCATCATAGCTCCCCATTGTCACGTCAAAGTGCTTGTTGTTCCTTTTCACCCACTGCTTCTCCATGCCAAACAGCAGTGATCGCCTGGCGTGGAATATGATGTCACACTCCTCCTGGGAGATGTCTGTGTAGCGGCGGGCGAATTCAATGGATCTCTGGAGGAGGTCTTTGGAGATTGAGGGGTAGAAATCTACAATGTCAAAGCACACGAGTATGCACTTTTATTTTTCTGGAATGCTTGTGAACCACTCTATCACCGCTGCCGTGTTCCTCTATTCATGAATCTGCAGCTGGGGGCAGAGCTGTTTTAGGGTGGTACCGAGTATGGACTTGGAGGCTATGCCGATTTCACTCTTTGAGGGATTAATGAGCCGGCATGGTAGGGACCGGCACAAGTTGTCCTTGTGATCCTTCAGCGTTTTGTATGCGCCCTTCTTCGCCATTGCGGCCATTCTGTCGTCCAGCTCAAGCGTACATGCACAACCCCAGGGTTTTGAGCAGTGGGAAAGATTTCTATCTAAATGTACAAATGTACATTCCTAGGTTTTGAGCAGGTTTTGAGTAGTGCTCAAACGAGCACTCTATATGCTATCGAACGAGTAGTGTCACTATCGAGTTGAGCACTCTATAAGCTATCGAACGAGTAGTGCCACTATCGAGTTGAGTACTTTATAAGCTATCGAACGAGTAGTGTCACTATCGTCTTGAGTACTATAAGCTATCGAACGTGTAGTGTCATTATCGAGTTGAGTACTCTATAGGGCAACCTGGTCGCTCTTATGGGCACATTCCCATCACGCCAACTTTACCTTCGAATTGAGCACACGTGTTCATTGTACAGAGTAGGTCAAGTTTCGCCCAAAGTCAGTGACATCTCTCGGAGTGATTTTTCTCTCTTTCACTTGCATCTACATAGCTAAAAACTTCCAGTAATAGTAGGCACAGCTCTGACTGACGTCGAAAAGAACTACATCAGTAGAGTTTGTCAGTTTGTGCTACACAACAAAGCCTGGACAGTATACACATTCCTGTGGTATACGTTTATGTTATCGAGTGTCGAGCCCACCTTTGAATTCAAGTCAAGTACTCAGAGAGTGGGTAATCGAGTACTCGGTGTGCTCCTTTGAGCACTATTATAGCACTATTATAGTTTACCGCTGCCACCAATGTAATAGTGTGTATATTCGTAGTGTTCAGTTCAACCCGTGCATTTTCCTGTTCAGATGGCGCAGCCTCAAGTAGCAGCAGCAGCTCCGGCCCGCCCGGCGGCTTTAGGACGCCCAGTCATCTTACCACCTGAGTTTACCGGAACAAGCAGCGAAGACTGGCTGACATTTATGGGCCAATTTAACGTCGCCTGTCAGGCAAACGGATATGCGGATGATCAACGCCTGGATTTCCTGCCCTGTCGTCTCCGCGAGGGGGCGTTTCATGTCTACCAGACATTCCGGGCCCAGCACCCGAATGATGCCTACGATGAGCTGTGCGATCGTCTCACTGCGTATTTCAACCCTCCGCAGCATCGCCCGTCGTTCGAGGCCGAGTTTCGGGCTAGAACAATGAAAACAACTGAGAGTCCGGTGGAGTTTGCGTCTGCGTTGCAGAAATTGGCGTCAAGGGCCTACCCAGGCCAGGAAAACACGGACCTCTTCCAGCGTTTACTGGTCAATCAGTTTATCGATGGCCTCCCTTCTCCAGAGCTTCGCTTTCATGTTCGAAGTGCCAGCCCGAATAATTTTGCACAAGCTGTGCAAAGGGCTCTGGAAATGGCGGCCATATTCGACGCAGAGCAGCGTCAGTCGAACGGTGCCGCGATCGCGGGTGCATCGCCGACACCTGCGGCCATATTCATCGTCCGCGGGTCAAGCACTGCACTCCCACCTACGAAATTCTAGAATATTCCAGAGCTGTGAACTGTGATTGGTTAATTATGCCAATGTTCTAGAACAATAACACTAGCAGCCAACCACAGTTCACAACAGACACTGAGTCATACGGGTAAATACGGGTTTAGCCATACACGACTCATTCATTACTCACGAGCGACTCACGGAAAGGGTAATAACATGCAGATACAAAATACGCAAGTAGAGAAAAATGTAACTAACTCAGTAACTGCCCATCTTGGGGTTTGAACCAAGGAATCTGTATCAACACAAGCTCTACAAATAAATACTCTTTTACTGCGAAAAATATACTTTCTATTAAAATGCAACTCCTACACATTCAACCTCACTCCTTCAAGGGAAGTGTGGGGCTCTGATATGCTTGACAATGTGGGGCAGCCTTGTGATTACACATACGCGGTGATTCGGGCCATGTATTGCTGGGTATTGAGGTTTGAGTCAGTCTTACGGCTAACCTCACTCCTTCAAGGCAAGTGTGGGGCTCTGATTAGCTTGACAATGTGGCGCAGGCTTGTGATTGCACATACCCGGTGATTCGGGCCGTGTATTACTTGGCAATGAAGCTATGAGTCAGTCTTGCATTCAACCTCACTCCTTCAAGGGAAGTGTGGGGCTCTGATAAGCTTGACAATGTGGGGTGGCCTTGTGATCACAAAACCGGTGATTCGGGCTATGTATTGCTGGGCATTCAGCTTTGAGTCAGTTTTACAACAAACCTCACTCCTTCAAGAGAAGTGTGGGGCTCTGTTTACTTGCAGAAGCATAACATCCGAGAACAGCAGCATAACATCTTGAGCATGTATATTGTATCTGTGTTTACACTGTAGTTGATGACAATGGACTTGGCTTGTGTCTTATGTTCCATCTCTGCTGCAGACTCACTGTGTTGTTCGAAGTCTGATGTCTTCATGGACATCTTCTTATCCTGTGCTGAGTGAAGGCCAGTCTGCCAATTCAACTTCAACATTTAAGGTACTATCAAGAGTACATATACAAGATTGTGCAATTCCGCTTGGTTTGCACCATGGCATATATGTTTTGTTACGGTAGCAGCCTGGTCGTAAATTTCATATGGCATTGAATTGACCGTAACTTTGGTGTCTCTCAATGGATTTGAGTGAAATGTTCACCACACACTCCTGCCACTATGCTGGCCCTCTGGACATGATTTAAAAGTTCTTGCGCCTCACTGACAGGCTTTCCAGGCCGGAAAAACTCAAAATTCCGGCATAGTGCCACGGTGTGCGAGCCACCCAGGAGCCAAAAAATGCATTTACAATTTTTTCACATTTTCTTGCCCATTCTGTCCGTGCGCGGGATCCAAACCTAAAAAAGTCCAGAAGCAGCCATGGGTGGTGGGATAGGGCCCTTCAACGTGGCCCTGGAATCTGTCACAACGGCAGGAGTGGGCGTTGTTTCACAGACTCCCACAAACCCAAGTCATTTTTGGAATTTTTTTAGGTTTAGGGTCTGCTACGAGGTCGTACCTTTGATACAACATCCAGTGCTGGAACCTCCACAGCAAGCCATTTCCAAAGCGCTGCAAACCGAATCCAGGATACCCTCAAAAATCGGCAAAGACTTCCACTCACGTTCCACTACTGCCTAGTACGGAATCCTACCTGACTTCTTAACACGACTCAAACTTGCCAAAGTCACTAAATCAACGTCAACTACAATAATCAAGCCACATATCTGCAACGTCGCGAGGGTGTTGGCAAAATTCCTGCTGCACGGTGGCGGGCGAAGCCGTGCAGCCCAATACGTGGCTTAAAAACGTGATCTTTTGGACTTGGAGCAAAATTGTGCACACTTTCGCGTGTTTCCATGATACGACAAGTTGCGCACGGTCTGCTCACATTCAAATACAGTGCTGCCAACAAATGACAGCATGCAAATCTTTCCTTACAAGGGCACATTTTCGGCCATAACTCTTGCGGCTGGTGAGATCGAGACAAAAGTTTCAGAGATTTTGCAGCTGTTCATGCTCTTTCAACTGATGTAGTCCTCGATATGAATTCACAAATTTCGATTTTTCAGGGATTTTACAACCAGGCTGCCCCCTAATGTCAAGTTTTCTGGAGATCATGAGTAATACTGCATGTGCCATGTACTACGAGTCTGTGGCCGTGTGGACTTTACTGGGTTTCACTTAACCTTCATAACTTGCCTCTTAAGAGCCACAGTTTCAGAGTGATACCTTTGAGTGGCAGTACTTCAGCGCCCCATTTCACCCATGATTATCTGCGCGGTAAAGTACAGCGCCAAGAAGTTCAGCGCAGTAAAGTACAGTGCGAACATATACAGTGCGAACAAGTACAGCGCAAACAAGTACAGCGCGAAGATATATGTAGGACTCAGTATAGAGTCCATGCACTATATGATGTCCAGCACCCTATATAGAGTCCATTGGTCCAAAATCCACTATGCAGAGTCCAGGAGTCCACTCAGTTTTGATCAGCTTCATCCTGCCGCGCAATCCCCTAAGGAGTACACTTTTTCTACAAGTCCCCTATTCACGGTCCAGGAGTCCAGTTTATCCAGTCACGCCGTCCTGTACTGTTTGTTGTGCCCGAAAGAGAACAAACACCTTTTCAGTTTTGCTTGCCTCGTGGCAGCGCATTCCTTTCTTCACTTCAGCCATGGCTGTCAGTTCTGCTGTGCAGTTGCTGACAGTTATCTGTCTCGAGGTAACCAAGGAGGATAAGGAGACGTTCCAAATCATATCTGGAAAGCGTCTTGTGGTTCTCTGAAGGCGTTTCAGCAGTGCGCGGGATGAAAGCAGAAATTGCAGAACGATAAAAGTTCAGCACAGTTCAAATCTGACGAGTCAGGTACAATATTCACGGCTTACAGCAGACCCTATGTCTAATTTCAAACTCTGGATAGGGGATGCCTAATTGGCTGGACTTTATACAGGGAGTGTTGTCCACATAAAGACTCTTTATAGTTGATTTCAAAGTTTGGACTCCGTAAAGTTGATTTTGGACCTATGGACTCTATATAGGGGTTGGACATCATATAGGGGCTGGACTCTCTACTGAGTCCAACATATACAGTGCGAACAAGTGCAGTGCGAACATATACAGTGCGAACAAGTACAGCGCGAAAAAGTACAGTGCGAACAAGTACAGCGCAAACAAGAACAGCGCAAACAAGTACAGCGCGAACAAGTACAGCGCAAACAAGTACAGTGCGAACAAGTACAGTGCGACAAAGTACAGGGCGAACAAGTACAGGACGAACAAGTACAGCGCGAACAAGTACAGCGCAAACAAGTACAGTGCTAACAAGTACAGGGCGAACAAGTACAGCGCATAAAGTACAGCACGAACAAGTACAGCGCGAACAAGTACAGCGCGAAGAAGTACGGGGCGAACAAGCGCAAACAAGTACAGCGTTAACAAGTACAGCGCCAACAAGAACAGCGCAAACAAGTACAGCGCGAACAAGTACAGCGCAAACAAGTACAGCGCAAACAAGTACAGCGCGAACAAGTACAGCGCGAACAAGTACAGCGCGAACAAGTACAGCGCGAACAAGTACAGCGCGAACAAGTACAGTGCGAACATATACAGTGCGAACAAGTACAGTGCAAACAAGTACAACAAGTACAGCGCCAACAAGTACAATGCGAACAAGTACAGTGCGAACAAGTACAGCGCAAACAAGTACAGCGCGAACAAGTACAGCGCAAACAAGTACAGCGCAAACAAGTACAGCGCGAACAAGTACAGCGCAAACAAGTACAGTGCAAACAGGTACAGCGCCAACAAGTACAACAAGTACAGCGCAAACAAGTACAATGCGAACAAGTACAGTGCGAACAAGCACAGTGCGAGCAAGTACAGCGCAAACAAGTACAGGGCGAACAAGTACAGCGCAAACAAGTACAGCGCGAACAAGTACAGTGCGAACAAGTACAGTGCGAACAAGTACAGCGCCAACAAGTACAACAAGTACAGCGCCAACAAGTACAATGCGAACAAGTACAGTGCGAACAAGCACAGTGCGAACAAGTACAGTGCGAACAAGTACAGCGCAAACAAGTACAGTGCGAACAAGTACAGCGCAAACAAGTACAATGCGAACAAGTACAGTGCGAACAAGTACAGTGCGAACAAGTACAGTGCGAACAAGTACAGCGCAAACAAGTACAGTGCGAACAAGTACAGCGCAAACAAGTACAGCACACACGAACAAGTACAGAGCGAACAAGTACAGCGCCAACAAGTACAGCACACACGAACAAGTACAGTGCGAACAAGTACAGCGCAAACAAGTACAGCGCCAACAAGTACAGCGCCAACAAGTACAGCGCCAACAAGTACAGCACACACGAACAAGTACAGTGCGAACATATACAGTGCGAACAAGTACAGCGCAAACAAGTACAGCGCAAACATTTGGGACTGCTGTGAATATTTGGGACTGCTGTGAATAGTTTAGTCGCAAAGTGAAGAATCACGGGCAAAAAGACCCAAAATTTCGAGATAGGTTGATTTCAGCTTTGAGCAGACGTAGACGAGTTGTATATTGAAATGTGGATTTTTTCTTGGTGTGCTTCCCTATGTCCAGCTATAAAACAAGATCAGGGTGGGGATAGTCAGTTCTTGAGCTTGGAACGGGCAGAAAGGTGGAGGAGAAATTGTCGCTTTTTGACCATTTGTGCCCACGTGTCACTTTCAACGTACCTCTGTATAACATGACCCAGCTGTGATGTGAGTGGTCGCATTGATTTCATTTTGGTTTACTTGTAGGCCGTTGGCACCCGCATTGAGTGACGCCGAAAATTTGGCACTGCTGTGAATAGTTTAGTCGCAAAGTGAAGAATCACGGGCAAAAGGGCCCAAAACTTCGAGATGGATTGATTTCAGTTTTTGAGCAGACCTGGGGGAAGTGTTTATTGAAATGTGGAATTTTTTCTTGGTGCACTTCCCTATATCCAGCTATGCAACAAGATCCGGGTGGCGATGGTCAGTTCTTGAGCTTCGAACGGGCAGAAAGGTGAGAAATTGTCGCTTTTTGACCATTTGTGCCAACGTGTCACTTTCAACGTACCTCTGTATAACATGATCCAGCTGTGATGTGAGTGATGGCATTGATTTAATTTTTGGTTCACTTGTAGGCCGCTGGCACCCGCATTCAGCGACGCCGAAAATTTGGGACTGCTGTGAAATGTTTAGTCGCAAAGTGAAGAATCACCGACAAAAGGGCCCAAAACTTCGATGGATTGATTTCAGCTTTGAGTAGCCCTGGGGGAAATCTTTATTGAAGTGTGGAATTTTTTCTTGGTGCACTTCCCTATGTCCAGCTATGCAACAAGATCAGGGTGGCGATGGTCAGTTCTTGAGCTTCGAACAGGCAGAAAGGTGAGAAATTGTTGCGTTTTGACCATTTGTGCACACGTGTGACTTTCAACGTACCCAGCTGTGATGTGAGTGGTCGCATTGATTTGATTTTTGGTTTGCTTATAGGCCGCTGCCACCCGCTGTTAGTGACACCGAAAATTTGGCACTGCTGTGAAAAGTTTAGTCGCAAAGTGAAGAATCACGGGCAAAAGGGCCCGAAACTTCGAGATGGATTGATTTCAGCTTTGGGCAGACCTGGGCGAAGTGTTTATTGAAATGTGGAATTTTTCTTGGTGCACTTCCCTAAATCCAGCTATGCAACAAGATCTGGGTGGCGATGGTCAGTTCTTGAGCTTCGAACGGGCAGAAAGGTGAGAAATTGTCGCTTTTTGACGATTTGTGCCAACGTGTCACTTTCAACGTACCTCTGTATAACATGATCCAGCTGTGATGTGAGTGATGGTATTGATTTAATTTTTGGTTCACTTGTAGGCCGCTGGCACCCGCATTCAGTGACGCCGAAAATTTGGGACTGCTGTGAATAGTTTAGTCGCAAAGTGGAGAATCACCGACAAAAGGGCCCAAAACTTCGATGGATTGATTTCAGCTTTGAGTAGCCCTGGGGGAAGTCTTTATTGAAGTTTGGAATTTTTTCTTGGTGCACTTCCCTATGTCCAGCTATGCAACAAGATCAGGGTGGCGATGGTCAGTTTTTGAGCTTCGAACAGGCAGAAAGGTGAGAAATTGTCGCGTTTTGACCATTTGTGCACACGTGTGACTTTCAACGTACCCAGCTGTGATGTGAGTGGTCGCATTGATTTGATTTTTGGTTTGCTTATAGGCCGCTGCCACCCGCTGTTAGTGACGCCGAAAATTTGGCACTGCTGTCAATAGTTTAGTCGCAAAGTGAAGAATCACGGGCAAAAAGGCCCAAAAATTCGAGATAGATAGATTTCAGCTTTGAGCAGCCCTGGGGGAAGTGTTTATTAAAATGTGGAATTTTTTCTTGGTCCACTTCCCTATGTCCAGCTATGCAACAAGATCAGGGTGGCGATGGTCAGTTCTTGAGCTTCGAACAGGCAGAAAGGTGAGAAATTGTCGCTTTTTGACCATTTGTGCCAACGTGTCACTTTCAACGTACCTCTGTATAACATGATCCAGCTGTGATGTGAGTGATGGCATTGATTTAATTTTTGGTTCACTTGTAGGCCGCTGGCACCCGCATTCAGCGACGTCGAAAATTTGGGACTGCTGTGAAAAGTTTAGTCGCAAAGTGAAGAATCATCGACAAAAGGGCCCAAAACTTCGATGGATTGATTTCAGCTTTGAGTAGCCCTGGGGGAAATCTTTATTGAAGTGTGGAATTTTTTCTTGGTGCACTTCCCTATGTCCAGCTATGCAACAAGATCAGGGTGGCGATGGTCAGTTCTTGAGCTTCGAACGGGCAGAAAGGTGAGAAATTGTCGCGTTTTGACCATTTGTGCACACGTGTGACTTTCAAGCTGTGATGTGAGTGGTCGCATTGATTTGATTTTTGGTTTGCTTATAGGCCGCTGCCACCCGCTGTTAGTGACGCCGAAAATTTGGCACTGCTGTGAAAAGTTTAGTCCTAAATGAAGAATCACGGGCAAAAGGGCCCAAAACTTCGAGATGGATTGATTTCAGCTTTGAGCAGACCTGGGCGAAGTGTTTATTGAAATGTGGAATTTTTCGTGGTGCACTTCCCTAAATCCAGCTATGCAACAAGATCCGGGTGGCGATGGTCAGTTCTTGAGCTTCGAACGGGCAGAAAGGTGAGAAATTGTCGCCTTTTGACGATTTGTGCCAACGTGTCACTTTCAACGTACCTCTGTATAACATGATCCAGCTGTGATGTGAGTGATGGCATTGATTTAATTTTTGGTTCACTTGTAGGCCGCTGGCACCCGCATTCAGCGACACCGAAAATTTGGGACTGCTGTGAATAGTTTAGTCGCAAAGTGAAGAATCACGGGCAAAAAGGCCCAAAACTTCGAGACAGGTTGATATCAGCTTTGAGCAGCCCTGGGCGAAGTGTTTATTGAAATGTGGAATTTTTTCTTGGTGCACTTCCCTATGTCCAGCTATGCAACAAGATCAGGGTATTGATGGTCAGTTCTTGAGCTTGGAACGGGCAGAAAGGTGGAGGAGAAATTGTCGCTTTTGACCATTTGTGCCCACGTGTCACTTTCAACGTACCTCTGTATAACATGACCCAGCTGTGATGTGAGTGGTCGCATTGATTTCATTTTGGTTTACTTGTAGGCCGTTGGCACCCGCATTGAGTGACGCCGAAAATTTGGCACTGCTGTGAATAGTTTTGTCGCAAAGTGAAGAATCACGGGCAAAAGGGCCTAAAACTTCGAGATGGATTGATTTCAGTTTTGAGCAGACCTGGGCGAAGTGTTTATTGAAATGTGGAATTTTTTCTTGGTGCACTTCCCTATATCCAGCTATGCAACAAGATCCGGGTGGCGATGGTCAGTTCTTGAGCTTCGAACGGGCAGAAAGGTGGGAAATTGTCGCTTTTTGACCATTTGTGCCAACGTGTCACTTTCAACGTACCTCTGTATAACATGATCCAGCTGTGATGTGAGTGATGGCATTGATTTAATTTTTGGTTCACTTGTAGGCCGCTGGCACCCGCATTCAGCGACGCCGAAAATTTGTGACTGCTGTGAATAGTTTAGTCGCAAAGTGAAGAATCGCCGACAAAAGGGCCCAAAACTTCGATGGATTGATTTCAGCTTTGAGTAGCCCTGGGCGAAATCTTTATTGAAGTTTGGAATTTTTTCTTGGTGCACTTCCCTATGTCCAGCTATGCAACAAGATCAGGGTGGCGATGGTCAGTTCTTGAGCTTCGAACAGGCAGAAAGGTGAGAAATTGTCGCTTTTTGACCATTTGTGCCCACGTGTCACTTCCAACGTACCTCTCTATAACATGAGCCAGCCGTGATGTAACTGGTCGCATTGATTTCATTTTTGGTTTGCTTGTAGGCCGCGGGCACCCGCATTCAGTGAAGCCGAAAATTTGGCACTGTTGTGAATAGTTTAGTCGCAAAGTGAAGAATCACGGGCAAAAAGGGCCTAAAACTTCGAGATGGATTGATTTCAGCTTTGAGCAGCCCTGGGCGAAGTGTTTATTGAAATGTAGAATTTTTTCTTGGTTCACTTCCCTATGTCCAGTTATGCAACAAGATCTGGGTGGAGATGGCCAGTTGTTGAGCTTCAAACGGGCAGAAAGGTGAGAAATTGTCGCTTTTTGACCATTTGTGCCCACGTGTCACTTCCAACGTACCTCTGTATAACATGACCCAGCTGTGATGTGAGTGGTCGCATTGATTTAATTTTTGGTTTGCTTATAGGCCGCTGCTACCCGCTGTCAGTGACCCCGAGAATTTGGCACTGCTGTGAATAGTTTAGTCGCAAAGTGAAGAATCACGGGCAAAAAGGCCCAAAACTTCGAGATAGGTTGATATGACCTTTGAGCAGCTCTGGGCGAAGTGTTTATTGAAATGGGGAAATTTTCTTGGTGCATTTCGCTATGTCCAGCTGTGCAACAAGATCCGGGTGGCGATGGTCAGTTCTTGAGCTTCGAACTGGCAGAAAGGTGAGAAATTGTCGCTTTTTGACCATTTGTGCCCACGTGTCACTTCCAACGTACCTCTCTATAACATGACCCAGGTGCGATGTGAGTGATCGCATTGATTTAATTTTTGGTTTACTTGTAGGGAGCTGGCACCCGCATTCAGTGACGCCAAAAATTTGGGACTGCTGTGAATAGTTTAGTCGCAAAGTGAAGAATCACGGGCAAAAGGGCCCAAAACTTCAAGATGGATTGATTTCAGCTTTGAGCAGCCCTTGGCGAAGTTAGTTTTTATTGAAGTGTGGAATTTTTTCTTGGTGCACTTCCCTATATCTAGCTATTTAACAAGATCAGGGTGGCGATGGTCAGTTCTTGAGCTTCGAAAAGGCAGAAAGGTGAGAAATTGTCGCGTTTTGACCATTTGTGCCCATGTGTCACTTCCAACGTACCTCTCTGTAACATGACCCAGCTGGGATGTGAGTGGTCGCATTGATTTGATTTTTGGTTTGCTTATAGGCTGCTGCCACCCGCTGTCAGTGACGCCGAAAATTTGGGACTGCTGTGAATAGTTTAGTTGGAAAGTGAAGAATCTTGGGCAAAAAGGCCCAAAACTTTGAGATAGGTTGATATCAGCTTTGAGCAGCCCTGGGCGAAGTGTTTATTGAAATGTGGAATTTTTTCTTGGTGCACTTCCCTATGTCCAGCTATGCAACAAGATCAGGGTGTCGATGGTCAGTTCTTGAGCTTCGAACGGGCAGAAAGGTGAGAAATTGTCGCTTTTTGACCATTTGTGCCCACGTGTCACTTGCAACGTACCTCTGTATAACATGACCCAGCTGTGATGTGAATGGTCGCATTGATTTAATTTTTGGTTTACTTGTAGGCCGCTGTCACCCGCATTCAGCGACGTCGAAAATTTGGGCTTGCTGTGAATAGTTTAGTCGCAAAGTGAAGAATCACCGGCAAAAGGGCCCACAACTTCGAGATGGATTGATTTCAGCTTTGAGGAGCCCTGGTGGAATTTTTTATTGAAGTGTGGAATTTTTTCTTGGTGCACTTCCCTATGTCCAGCTATACAAAAAGATCAGGGTGGTGATGGTCAGTTCTTGAGCTTCGAACTGGCAGAAAGGTGAGAAATTGTCGCTTTTTAACCATTTGTGCCGACGTGTCACTTCCAACGTACCTCTCTATAACATAACCCAGCTGGGATGTGAGTGGTCGCATTGATTTTATTTTTGGTTTGCTTATAGGCCGCTGCTACCCGCTGTCAGTGACGCCGAAAATTTGGCACTGCTGTGAATAGTTTAGTCGCAAAGTGAAGAATCACGGGCAAAAGGCCCCAAAACTTCGAGATGGATTGATTTCAGCTTTGAGCAGCCCTGGGCGAAGTGTTTATTGAAATGTGGAATTTTTTCTTGGTGCACTTCCCTATGTCCAGCTATGCAACAAGGTCAGGGAGGAGATGGCCAGTTGTTGAGCTTCGAACGGGCAGAAAGGTGAGAAATTGTCGCATTTTGACCATTTGTGCCCACGTGTCACTTCCAACGTACCTCTCTATAACATGACCCAGCTGTGATGTGAGTGATCGCATTGAATTAATTTTTGGTTTACTTGTAGGCCGCTGGCACCCGCATTCAGCGACGCCGAAAATTTGGGACTGCTGTGAATAGTTTAGTCGCAAAGTGAAGAATCACGGGCAAAAGGGCTCAAAACTTCGAGATGGATTGATTTCAGCTTTGAGCAGCTCTGGGCGAAGTGTTTATTGAAGTTTGGAATTTTTTCTTGGTGCACTTCCCTATGTCCAGCTGTACAAAAAGATCAGGGTGGCGATGGTCAGTTCTTGAGCTTCGAACAGGCAGAAAGGTGAGAAATTGTCGCGTTTTGACCATTTGTGCACACGTGTCACTTTCAACGTACCTCTCTATAACATGACCCAGCTGTGATGTGAGTGGTCGCATTGATTTGATTTTTGGTTTGCTTATAGGCCGCTGTCACCCGCTGTTAGTGACGCCTAAAATTTGGCACTGCTGTGAATAGTTTAGTCGCAAAGTGAAGAAGCCACGGTGACTTCATGTGCACCAACTAATGACATGGCGTCCTTTCATGCGGTTTACCGCACGGATTTATGAAGTCAGACATATTCCGATTTATTTGCATCAATCGCACAAAATTAGGTACATTTCTCTTGTAAACCCTGTCAGTTTGAGAATTTAGACAAACACCGAACAAATTTTAGCCGCGACGAGGATCGATCGGGAGGAATCCATCATTATTATTTACATAGCTACTACCATCACGTCGACCGAGTGAAGATCGAAATGATAATGGAGTGGAGAGAAGAAGACCTGAACTAGAGTGCTTGAGAGACTATGTAGTGTCACATGAGAATTGCTTCGTTAGGAAGGCTCTCCTTTTGAATGGAGAAGCCCAACGTCGCTGATTTGCATCGCCGTTTTCAAGCGCTGATCTGCAGTCGGAATGTTTTTGTAAATAATTATTCGTAGTTGTGGACGTGGATGGATTCAGCGCTCTGTTCTCTCAGCAAGCCTACTCAGTCCAACACGAAGGACTTCCATGAGCGAAACAACGTGCTCCTCCAGCAAGTGCAGCTCGGGGTAATATGGCCAATGCCACGGGAGACCACCTCGTGCCTGCATAAGGCCAAGAATTGATGGCAAGACATCTTTGATGAGCGCCTTCGACTTCAAGGACGCAATATTATCTCCTCAGCAGTAACTGCAGCGCTCTTGCTGAAAATATCACTGCAAGCATGCACTAGGCATGATTTAGTGAAGAGCTACTTGTACTAGCGATTGGAGATTTGGTGTTGGCTTCCAGGGCTGGGCATATCTGCTCCATCATGGTAACTGGTGCGTTTGTCAAGGCAGTGCAGTTTCTGCTGCTGTTTCACAAGCCATATGCGCATATGCGCAGTGAGTAGGAATTTGTTGTATGATAGCTGAGGATCACCAGCCTTCATGGACAAACCTATATTGGGACTGGTTGCTGAACAGTGCACACCTAAATCTCTCAGCAAGCTCTCTTGCTCAGCTGGTGACGAACACTATATACCCGCTGCTTTGGGCTTGCAGCCCCATCTCCCGACCGTAGACAGATCGAAAGGCTGTCACGGTCCTGTGACCATCGGCGTACAGTTGACGCTGATGGGGCATCGGATAAAGTGCTGGCGTCAGTAATTGTCTGGTATACCTGGAATCTACATCTACAGCTGGTTTTGACTTCCAGCCATCCTTCGTTAGTTATGCTTGTGACTATCATGCCAGCAAGTCGATCAGCAGCATCACCTCGCATCTTTGATGGTGAGGCCTGCAAAACGTCACCGACCAGTGACGATGCTCAAAAGGGCACCCTACCAGAGCTGGCGCAGTGTATGGTGCAGTCTTTCATGAATCCATGAACTATGCTGTTTGGCTGCTGTAGCTCTGACGCTTGCGTGTGTGCCTTACATTAAGGGCAGCGGGCCGTCTGCTCTAGCCATTTGCCAATGCATGCACGGCTGAACGTCTACCAACAAGCTGCAAACACTTCTCTCCCTACCACACTGTGACATAGTGGATATTGTGCGTGTGTTGTTGCATTCCTATCTGAACTGAACTGTTCTGGATGCAGAGATTTACCCACTAAGCCCTAGAGAAATATGAATAAATACTATACTACCGTATTTCCACAAATAGTAGGCCGGTCTACTATTTTTTCAACCTCGTCCTAACCCGGCCTTATAATCGAGGACGGTCTTGTATTCGAGGACGGTCTTTTATTCTTTCAACCCAGTTTGACCCCCCGGTCTTCTATTTCTCGCCACACAGTTTTACCCCCGTTCTTCCATTTTCTTCTACACAGTTTGAGCACGGTCTTCTATTTTTTCCCACAGTTTGAGCACGGTCTTCTATTTTTAACACAAGAACAAAGACTCATTTAGTAGGCCCGGTCTTCTAATCGGAGACGGTCTTTTATTTTTTCAATCGCCCCCTGCCCCGGCCTTGTATACGAGGAAGGCGTTGTATACGAGGACGGCCTTTTATTTGCGGAAATACGGTACTACTATTACTAAACTTGGTATGCGGGTGTGACGCGCTGCTGCTCATCAGATTCGGTCCATGCGACGCTCGTGTTTTTAGTTTTGTTATTTTGTCTGCCTTTTTTGAATTCGTAAACCGAACAGACTAAACTATCCAGTGATCAGGTACTGGTGTGGTGGGGCGAGGTTTTGTTGGTGATGCTGCTGTCAGTGGTGGCGGCGTGCATGTGCTCGTGCTTGCGGGCGATGGCCCGCGTTTTCTCCCATGCCGCAAGTTTGTCTTGCGTTTGTGTTCTGCATTTGGACTTCCTGCCAGGCTTGGGCTTGCATTTCAAACAGTTTGTCCCACTGTGTGGCTCCCAGTCTTTGAGCGGTGTACATCCACCTCTAGAGCTCCAGAGAATGTTGGGCCCCTGGCAGTAACAGTGCATTCCATGGCCAATTTTCAAGTGTGGCAAAAATGTTCAGGGTGTATTTGGTTTCATCCACATTGAGATGAAACACTGCCAAAATGGATTCAGTATGATCTGCCACACGATACTTCGTCTGTCCACTCCTTGAAGCGAATTTCTCCCCTCCAATACGACAACACGAAGACAGGAAGCTAACATGAGCCTCCATTTCTGAACAAAATTACGTCTCTAACATGGCCACGAAAAGCTACAGTTATGCACGTCAAGCTTAGGACTACACGAAATCGAAAGGCTAGGACATCGAGGTATACTAGAAAATTTTCTGCGAGGCGGAGAAAATTCGCTGACGAGGTTGGCGAGCCCTTGAAATCGAGCGACGATCCAAAAATAATTGCACCCACGTCGAGAAAGAAACCATGCGTAGCGCGTGGGTAACCCAAGAAGATCGCTCGAGCGGCGGCACAGTCGAAGGCAAGGCCAGTCCAAGCTCTAAACTCTATCGAATGACCTGGCAAACACCCGTGGTTTCGGTTGACCTTGCCCGTTTGAGATGGAAGTCGAGCGAAATTGCAAACATACGACTAGGCCAGGTCGCATAAAAAATGAAAAAGATTAAAATTTGGCCGCCATGTTTAATGAACGCGCATCGCATGCATGGGACAGCCGTGAAGCACGGGCAAAAAGGCCCAAAACTTCGAGATAGATAGATTTCAGCTTTGAGCAGCCCTGGGGGAAGTGTTTATTGAAATGTGGAATGTTTTCTTGGTCCACTTCCCTATGTCCAGCTATGCAACAAGATCAGGGTGGCGATGGTCAGTTCTTGAGCTTCGAACGGGCAGAAAGGTGAGAAATTGTTGCTTTTTGACCATTTGTGCCCACGTGTCACTTCCAGCGTACCCCTCTATAACATTACCCAGCTGGGATGTAAGTGGTCGTATTGATTTCTTTTTTGGTTTGCTTGTAGGCCGCTGGCACCCGCATTCAGTGACGCCGAAAATTTGGCACTGCTGTGAATAGTTTAGTCGCAAAGTGAAGAATCACGGGCAAAAAGGCCCAAAACTTCGAGACAGGTTGATATCAGCTTTGAGCAGCTCTGGGCGAAGTGTTTATAGAAATGGGGAAATTTTCTTGGTGCATTTCCCTATGTCCAGCTATGCAACAAGATCCGGGTGGCGATGGTCAGTTCTGGAGCTTCGAACGGGCAGAAAGGTGAGAAATTGTCGCTTTTTGACCATTTGTGCCCAAGTGTCACTTTCAACGTACCTCTGTATACCATGACCCAGCTGTGATGTGAGTGATCGCATTGATTTAATTTTTGTTTTACTTGTAGGCCGCTGGCACCCGCATTCAGCGACCCCAAAAATTTCTGCTGCTGTGAATAGTTTAGTCGCAAAGTGAAGAATCACGGACAAAAGGGCCCAAAACTTCGAGATGGATTGATTTCAGCTTTGTGCAGCCCTGGGGGAAGTGTTTATTGAAGTGTGGAATATTTTCTTGGTGCACTTCCCTATGTCTAGCTATACAACAAGATCAGGGTGGCGATGGTCAGTTCTTGAGCTTCGAAAAGGCAGAAAGGCGAGAAATTGTCGCGTTTTGACCATTTGTGCACACATGTCACTTTCAACGTACCTCTCTATAACATGACCCAGCTGTGATGTGAGTGGTCGGTTTGATTTTATTTTTGGTTTGCTTATAGGCCGCTGCCACCTGCTGTCAGTGACGCCGAAAATATGGCACTGCTGTGAATAGCTTATTCGCAAAGTGTTGAATCACGGGCCAAAAGGCCCAAAACTTTGAGATAGATAGATATCAGCTTTGAGCAGCCCTCGGCAAAATGTTTATTGAAATGTGGAATCTTTTCTTGGTGCACTTTCCTATGTCCAGCTATGCAACAAGATCAGGGTGTCGATGGTCAGTTCTTGAGCTTCGAACGGGCAGAAGGGTGAGAAATTGTCGCTTTTTGACCATTTGTGCCCACGTGTCACTTTCAACGTACCTCTGTATAACATGACCCAGCTGTGATGTGAGTGATCGCATTGATTTAATTTTTGGTTTACTTGTAGGCCGCTGGCACCCGCATTCAGCGACGCCGAAAATTTGGGACTGCTGTGAATAGTTTAGTCGCAAAGTGAAGAATCACGGGCAAAAGGGCCCAAAACTTCGAGATGGATTGATTTCAGCTTTGAGTAGCCCTGGGGGAAGTCTTTATTGAAGTGTGGAATTTTTTCTTGGTGCACTTCCCTATGTCCAGCTATACAAAAAGATCAGGGTGGCGATGGTCAGTTGTTGAGCTTTGAACAGGCGGAAAGGTGAGAAATTGTCGCGTTTTGACCATTTGTGCACACGTGTCACTTTCAACGAACCTCTCTATAACATGACCCAGCTTTGATGTGAGTGGTCGCAATGATTTGATTTTTGGTTTGCTTATAGGCCGCTGCCACCCGCTGTTAGTGACGCCGAAAATTTGGCACTGCTGTGAATAGTTTAGTCGCAAAGTGAAGAATCACGGGCAAAAAGGCCCAAAACTCCGAGATAAAAAGATTTCAGCTTTGAGCAGCCCTGGGCGAAGTGTTTATTGAAATGTGGAATATTTTCTTGGTGCACTTCCCTATGTCCAGCTATGCAAAAGGATCAGGGTGGCAATCGTCAGTTCTTGAGCTTCGAACAGGCAGAAAGGTGAGAAATTGTCGCTTTTTGACCATTTGTGCCCACGTGTCACTTTCAACGTACCTCTGTATAACATGATCCAGCTGTGATGTGAGTGATCGCATTGATTTGTTTTTTGGTTTACTTGTAGGCCACTGGCACCCGCTTGATTTCAGCTTTGATTAACTCTGGGGGAAGTCTTTATTGAAGTTTGGAATTTTTTCTTGGTGCAATTCCCTATGTCCAGCTGAACAAAAAGATCAGGGTGGCGATGGTCAGTTCTTGAGCTTCGAACAGGCAAAAAGGTGAGAAATTGTCGCGTTTTGACCATTTGTGCCCACGTGTCACTTGCAACTCTACCTCTGTACAACATGAACCAGCTGTGATGTGAGTGGTCGCATTGATTTGATTTTTGGTTTGCTTGTAGGCTGCTGGCACCCGCATTCAGTGACGCCGAAAATTTGGCACTTCTGTGAATAGTTTAGTCGCAAAGTGAACAATCACGGGCAAAAAGGCCCAAAACTTCCAGATAGATAGATTTCAGCTTTGAGCAGCCCTGGGGGAAGTGTTTATTGAAATGTGGAATTTTTTCTTGGTCCACTTCCCTATGTCCAGCTATGCAAAAAGATCAGGGTGACGATGGTCAGTTCTTGAGCTTCGAACGGGCAGAAAGGTGAGAAATTGTTGCTTTTTGACCATTTGTGCCCACGTGTCACTTCCAGCATACCTCTATATAACATTACCAAGCTGGGATGTAAGTGGTCGCATTGATTTGATTTTTGGTTTGCTTGTAGGCCGCTGGCACCCGCATTCAGTGACGCCGAAAATTTGGCACTCCTGTGAATAGTTTAGTCGCAAAGTGAAGAATCACGGGCAAAAAGGCCCAAAACTTCGAGACAGGTTGATATCAGCTTTGAGCAGCTCGGGGCGAAGTGTTTTTTGAAATGGGGAAATTTTCTTGGTGCATTTCCCTATGTCCAGCTCTGCAACAAGATCAGGGTGGCGATGGTCAGTTCTTGAGCTTCGAACTGGCAGAAAGGTGAGAAATTGTCGCTTTTTGACCATTTGTGCCCACATGTCACTTTCAACGTACCTCTGTAGACCATGAACCAGCTGTGATGTGAGGGCCTCGCATTGATTTACTTTTTGGTTTACTTGTAGGCCGCTGGCACCCGCATTCAGCGACGCCAAAAATTTCTGCTGCTGTGAATAGTTTAGTCGCAAAGTGAAGTATCACGGGCAAAAGGGCCCAAAACTTCGAGATGGATTGATTTCAGCTTTGTGCAGCCCTGGGGGAAGTGTTTATTGAGGTGTGGAATATTTTCTTGGTGCACTTCCCTATGTCTAGCTATACAACAAGATCAGGGTGGCGATGGTCAGTTCTTGGGCTTCGAAAAGGCAGAAAGGTGAGAAATTGTCGCGTTTTGACCATTTGTGCACACATGTCACTTTCAACGTACCTCTCTATAACATGACCCAGCTGTGATGTGAGTGGTCGGTTTGATTTTATTTTTGGTTTGCTTATAGGCCGCTGCCACCTGCTGTCAGTGATGCCGAAAATTTGGCCCTGCTGTGAATAGTTTAGTCGCAAAGTGAAGAATCACGGGCCAAAAGGCCCAGAATTTCCAGATAGATAGATATCAGCTTTGAGCAGCCCTCGGTCCGTTCTTGAGCTTCGAACGGGCAGAAAGGTGAGAAAAGTGAAGAATCATCGGCAAAAGGGCCCAAAGTTTCGAGATGGATTGATTTCAGCTTTGAGTAGCCCTGGGGGAAGTCTTTATTGAAGTGTGGAATTTTTTCTTGGTGCACTTCCCTATGACCAGCTATACAAAAAGATCAGGGTGGCGATGGTCAGTTGTTGAGCTTCGAACTGGCAGAAAGGTGAGAAATTGTCACGTTTTGACCATTTGTGCACACGTGTCACTTTCAACGAACCTCTCTATAACATAACCCAGCTGTGATGTGAGTGGTCGCATTGATTTCATTTTTGGTTTGCTTATAGGCTGCTGCCACCCGCTGTTAGTGACGCCGAAAATTTGGCACTGCTGTGAATAGTTTAGTCGCAAAGTGAAGAATCACGCGCCAGAAGGGCCAAAACTTCGAGATAGAAAGATTTCAGCTTTCAGCAGCCCTGGGGGAAGTGTTTATTGAAATGTGGAATTTTTTCTTGGTGCACTTCCCTATGTCCAGCTATGCAAAAGGATCAGGGTGGCAACCGACAGTTCTTGAGCTTCGAACAGGCAGAAAGGTGAGAAATTGTCGCTTTTTGACCATTTGTGCCCACATGTCACTTCCAACGTACCTCTCTATAACATGACCCAGCTGTGATTTGAGTGGTCGCATTGATTTCATTTTTAGTTTACTTGTAGGCCGCTGGCACCCGCATTCAGTGACGCCGAAAATTTGGCACTGCTGTGAATAGTTTATTGGCAAAGTGAAGAATCACAGGCAAAAGGGCCCAAAACTTCGAGATTGATTGATTTCAGCTTTGAGCAGACGTAGGCGAGTTGTTTATTGAAATGTGGAATTTTTTCTTGGTGTACTTCCCTATGTCCAGTTATGCAACAAGATCAGGGTGGCGATAGTCAGTTCTTGAGCTTCGAACGGGCAGAAAGGGGAGAAATTGTCGCTTTTTGACCATTTGTGCCCAAGTGTCACTTTCAACGTACCTCTGTATAACATGACCCAGCTGTGATTTGAGTGTTCGCATTGATTTGATTTTTGGTGTGCTTGTAGGCCGCTGGCACCCACATTCAGTGACGCCGAAAATTTGAGACTGCTGTGAATAGTTTAGTCGCAAAGTGAAGAATCACAGGCAAAAAGGCCCAAAACTTCGAGATAGGTTGATATCAGCTTTGAGCAGCTCTGGGCGAAGTGTTTATTGAAATGGGGAATTTTTTCTTGTTCACTTCCCTATGTCCAGCTTTGCAACAATATCCGGGTGGCGATGGTCAGTTCTTGAGCTTTGAACAAGCAGAAAGGTGAGAAATTGTCCCTTTTTGGCCATTTGTGCCCACGTGTCACTTTCAGCGTATCTCTGTATAACATGACCCAGCTGTGATGTGAGTGGTCGCATTGATTTCATTTTTAGTTTACTTGTAGGCCGCTGGCACCCGCATTCAGTGACGCAGAAAATTTGGCACTGCTGTGAATAGTTTAGTCTCAAAGTGAAGATTCACAGGCATAAGGGCCCAAAACTTCGAGATAGATTGATTTCAGTTTTGAGCAGACCTGGGCGAAGTGCTTATTGAAATGTGAAAAATTTTCTTGGTGCACTTCCCTATGTCCAGCTATGCAACAAGTTCAGGGTGGCGATGGTCGGTTCTTGAGCTTGGATCTGGGAGAAATATGAGAAATTGTCCCATTTTGACCATTTGTGTCCACTTGTCACTTTCAACGTACCTCTGTATAACATGACCCAGCTGTGATGTGAGTGGTAGCATTGATTTGATTTTTGGTTTGCTTTTAGGCCGCTGGCAACCGCATTCAGTGACGCTGAAAATTTGGGACTGCTGTGAATAGTTTAGTCGCAAAGTGAAGAATCACGGGCAAAAAGGCCCAAAACTTCGAGATAGATTGATTTCAGGTTTGAGCAGACCTACTCAATTTGTATCTTGTGAATGCCGTTCAATTATACTGTTCTCATTGTGTGTTTGGACAGAGGAACGTGTCTAACGAAAAAGACGGAAGTTGCATGCTATCTTGACGACCTGAAAATTGTATGATTGTACTTGTATGAATGGTGCTATGCGCGTACAAACTCACCCAGGCCGCTATTCAGTGAACATTCCGCTTGTGTACATGCTGCATTTTCCGGGTTTGACAGCTGCATCGGGGTTTAAGCTGCACCCCCCCCCCCCGCCTCCCCTCCTTTTGGGCCCAGCATTTGTATCTTCGTTGATATTCAGTGTATAACAGGCACGTCCAACTTTGAATGTTTTGTCAACCTAACTAGGTATCGGTATATGCGCAACGCGTTGCCAGTGGTTAAAAGTTGAGAAGTACGACCGGAGTTCTAACAAAAGTTACCCAGTTATCCTGCACTCAGTACTGACAACATGTAGAAGGGTCTTGCTAGTACAGTCTGTATCGGCTATAGAGTGACCGGATATAAGAATATATCGGCTACAGTGATATTGGTACGAAATATCAAAAGCAAAACGTATTTTATCCAGTACAAATATCACTATAACCAATATTATCGGATGTAATGATATTATCGGATATTATGATGGCAACAAAGAATCAAAATATGCATAACACACTATATTATTATCGGCTATAGTGATAACTTTA